GGCCACAGAGACTGGCAAAACGTTAGGAAGAACAACCTTCAGAACACGGTCAAAGAGCCCGAAAAACCCACAATAACTTACACAAGTCTTTTTTTGGCATAAGATTTGGTGACCGGCAGCCACTTCTTCAGATGCATCTTCAGTTTATTATACAAATATATCCAATGGTACTAAGCTGTAGTCCACAGACGTTTATGCCAAATAAGACTTGTTATTTCTTTGGCTTTGACTGCACTGGGAGTATTGTAAATGACCACACAAAGAGGAGTGCACTGCTAAAAATCCAATACCATATTTTTTTGTGTATAAAATGACAATTTTTCCTAAAATAATTAAAGGAAAAATTTAGGATTGTTTTATACTCGGAAGTATAAAACTTTGATCCCTGTTTCCCCCTCCATGTTTTGCAAAGAAAATGGAGGGGGAAAGTGACTTCTGCTTTCCCCCTACATTTTCATGGCAAAAAGCAGCTTTCCCTCCAGGTGTTGCAAAGAAAATGCAGGGGAAAAGCAATTTCTGCCATTTTGTGGCAAAAAGCAGCTTTCCCCCTCCACATTTTGCAAAGAAAATGCAGGGGGGAAATGATTTCTGCTTTCCCCCTACATTTTCATTGCAAAACCTTTTTGCAACAAACATGTAGGGGAAAAGCAGAAATCATTTTCCCCCTGCATTTTCTTTGCAAAACGTGGAGGGGGAAAGCTGCTTTTTGCCACGAAAATGTAGGACTTTCTTGCAAAGGCGTCTTATACACAGAAAAATACAGTATTTTTTATCAATCTTATTTGAAGGAAATCTAGCTGATATGATACACTTTTGCTTATAATCCACTTTACAAAAACAAAGCCATTTGATATTAAAATTTTGAAATAAAGCGGGGGGGGGTAGATAGTTCTTGAAACCTTAAATGCACCTAACATACACACAAAAGGATTGGCAATAAATAACAAGTCAGGTCAGGAGTGTCATCAGAATAAAACAAGGATTTAAAAACTGATAAAAATTAACTACTGCTCTTGAAAAGCTTGCTGGAACAAGTACAACTTTCTCCTCCAAAAACAGCCAAAGGGGTGCATCTGCATTCCTCAAGCAGGAGTTCACTCAGTATCCTCAGGCTTCATTCTTGCCATAATTTGGATGCAATGAAATTGACGCTAACAGACCAATTCTATCTCTGCTGCACAAAGGACATTTCACCAGAGTAATGTGATGAGTCACAGTGTTGCTGTAAGGCAGCAGAACATTCAATCCAAGTGTCTGGTATTGTGCAATGAAATAATCTGCTCCTCCAGATATCCTTTGACCACAACAGGAACTATCATGTCATCTTGAACACACTTGCTGTGTCTGATTCTAAAGCTAAGCAGGGTTGAGTCAGATTAATATTTGGATGAGAGGACAGCACCAGATATCACAAGAAAATCTTCAGGTAGGGCTAGGGAAGAATCCTGTTTGCAGGACCACAGCTGCCAGTCCAACTTGACAATACTAGTCTACATGGCCACTAATCATATTACCTGGGGCTGATGGAAATTGGAAGTCCACTGACAGAAGAGGCACCGGATTCTCACCTCTGATGGATAGCATTCTAAATGCTACCATTCCTAAGCCAAATAGCTCTTCCGAAAACCACAGGCAGACTGTGAGACAGGAGGCAAGAAGGATAGCCGTCCCTCCTCCATACAGAAGGACAGATCCTGCCTATCTCACCTCCCAAAAAGACAGAAAAGAGAGGGACAGAGACAGAGGAGATAGAAGGAGAAATACAAAAATTGACCCTTGAAGGGGGTCAGGGAAAAACAGCAGGAATGGAGCAGAAGAAGAGGGTGGAAATAGAGGTGGGGACCACAGATATAAGAAGGAGGGAAGAACAGCTACCGCCAGGTTGGGGGTGGGTTTGGATGGAGGACTCATGGGCTGGTGCATGGGAAAGACTGAGAGCGCCTAAGGAGGAGGCTGATTATAGGAAGAGAAGGGAGATTCCACCTAGGCCATTTTACTGAGGAGAGGCAGAGGCTAAAGAGTGGAGAAGGAAGCTGAGAGACGAGAAGGAAAGAGTAGAAAGGGAAAGGAAAGAGAGGCTGGAATGGAGGATACAAGAGATGAGGAGGAAAGGGTTCAGGGCGGACCCTGGAAGGCTCCCACATCAGAAGGATGTCTCGCGTGGGATGACGGCTGGGATGACGAGACCATCCCCTTGTTGGAGAGTGAAGCGGGACAGACTTTAAACCTTTGCGGACTGGCCGGGTCCTTGGAACTCCGGTGAGAGAAACTCGTTCCTGGACAAAGATTGGAAGCCCCTTCAAGACCCATTGTCGGAAGGAGAAACAAGATGGACGCATGTTATTGGACACACCAATAAATATCTCACCTGTTTCTAAACAACAAAAATCTCCTGATTTCTTTGAAGCAAGAAAGGAGTCTAGAGTCGAACCCTCACACAGACATAAACAATGACATTACTATACTATACCAAAAGGGCTGGTAAGAACTTTCCAGGAAGTCTACAACCAGAGCATGAGAAGGACAATGCACAGTCAATTTGGTGAAAGCAAATAAGAAAGAGAAGCAGCACACAAATAAGAAAGTGCCAGGTTCAACCCTGGGGAGAATCTTTGACCAATATATAGCTCCACCAAAAGCTGGGGGCGGGGAGCCACTGCCATTTACAGGCAATGGCTCCAGGTCAATTCTGGAAACTTTTCTTTTCTGATTGGTCTACAGCTCCCAGAATCCCCCACCCAGCAAGGATGCTAAGAAATATATGAAATTGCTATATATGGTCTCCAATCACTGAACCATCTAGTTCAGTTTTATGCATTTTTGGTTGCCAGTGGCTTTCCTGGGTTTTCAGGAACAAACCTTTACCAGTTTTGCCTGGAGGTGTATCTGGAATCTGAATCTCAAAGCATCTGACTGGCTACTGCTGCCTACAAAGCACTTGGTTTACTGTTGGGCTAAAGCCCTGGCCTTCCCTTGGCTATGCGGACCAATGGTCTTAGTCAACAGGTTCATCTTGTGCTACAACAGGAAAACAGCAAACAAAAACAAGCGAGAAAATCAGCATACTTTAACTAACCTGTTTTCTTGAAAATTAAACCTAACCTGCAAATTAGCCCTAGTATGATTTTTCAGGATGCTCATAATAAAAGCCCTACCCCAAAATAAGCCCCAGTTAAGTGAAACCCTGCCCTCCACCATTGTGCAGCAAACAGAAGAAGATGACATGACTGTATTTGGATAAATGTAGATTGTTGTACATGAAAAAAATAAAGCATCCCCCGAAAATAAGCCCTAATGCGTTTTTGGAGCAAAAATTAATACAGTATAAGACCCTGACTTATTTTCAGGGAAACACAATATATAGAGAATTAACTTTTACAAAATAGGATGCTGACATGTTTCTGGAATAGCAATTGTTTACAGATACCTATGGAACTGGGCTTACAAATAATACTTTGCCTTCTCTCACTTACCTGAAACCCCATTTCTTCTGGAATCACACCTCTTAGTCAGCACTGTATCTGCCACTGATTCCATGGTATCTAAATCTGAAACAAGGATGAACAGATGGTCTCAACCTACAGCATGACAGCTCAGTTCACAGAAGATGTAACATGCTGGGAGAGAGAGGAAAATAGCAGAGAGGCAAGCTCATCCACAAAGCCATTTGGGAACTATAATTACTCAAGTGAACACGATAAAAAGACAAAGGTTTGGATGCTCCCCACGGGCTTCCCAAATATCAAACCTTTTGGAAAGTCAGCCTAGAAAATGTCTATTGTTTTGAAGCAATTCTGGCAAATCTGAATCCAAAATTCATTAGATCTTTTTTCATTTGAAAAAGTATTTAAAAACCCCATAAATCCATTCTTCAAAAGTCCCTCTTAAACTTCCCGTACAAAAAACCAAAAACAAACAAACCCAAACAACTAATCAGCAATGTACCAGTTTATAGTAAGGGTTCAATAAGCTAATATGATGGCAAAATCATTGGTACTCACTGTAATGGAATAATGAGTAGTCATAGCTGAAACTCTGAATCTGAATAGAATTTGGTGGTTTGCCATCTTTGGGGACTAAGAAGCAATTGGCCAACTGATGTTCGGGTGCTCTGAGGCCGTAATTCGTTCTAATAAATCACTTTGTGCATCACATTATAATAAGGTGGAATAAACAAACAGGCTGTGAAGATGAGCAACTTGGTGGATAGGCCAGCTCTGCGCACTGCCTCCCCAATGCGGCTGTGCTCAGACAGTCTCTGCTGGTTCACAGCAACAAGAATCTTCCTACAGCGGATGCTGAAATAAACATGCTCACTTTTCTGCTTCAAGGTGAGCTTTGCTATCCACTATACTTGGTTCCAAATATGGAAGACGTCTAAGTAGGCTTTCAACATGAAGGAGGAGGAGGAGAAGAAAAAGCACCACGAGATTTGTCTCTTTTTAAAAAAGAGCATTCAGGGCATACATCACTGGCTGAAAATAATCCAGAAGATAATTTTGAAACCACGACAGCACATCAACCTTAAGGTCATCAATCAGTGATTATCCCAATCACACCAACCTATGGTCAAAGAAAATGTAGGCTGAAACAGCAAAGTCTTTAGCTGATGTAGCAAGAAAGATTGAGATAGGGATCTCCTAGAGCAGGGAATATCATATCACCGGTACCACAGCAGAGCTGGTCTCTTCTAGACCACCCTCCAACTATACTTCAGATAGCTTTTATGTTTTAATGCCACTCTGAAATACAAATTTAAATTTAAGCACTGCAGAGATTGTCGCAGGGGCCAGTCAACTGCACTCTGCCCAGCCAACATTGGCCAACACCATGAAGAAAACATTATACCTGAGCTAGAGTATATCAAGAAGGAAATAGGTTTCCCCCTTGCCCTCAAAAGATGAGTACAGATACACCGCAGAAACACTGGTCAACATATGTCCATCTGTATGCACCATACAGTAAAGTTGTTGAAATGTTTTACTTCCAACCCTGACGCTAAAAGCCCACTAATTTGGAGTTGCTTTTAAAAGCAGTTCCAAAGATGGCGCCTCTTTACGAAGAGGCTCCATCACTGGGTGTACAGGGCCCCTTTAGGTGCAGAATACTGCTATAAATGGTTCCAGGGGCCAATTTGGGATTGAGAAGGGGCTCCTCCCATGGCTGGGGAACAATGGTGTAAGAGGGCTTCCGCTCTGCCGCACCCCTACAGACATCAGGGAGAAGCAAATGTGAGGCTGGCGAGTGCAATTGAATTGCCAGTCCAGTTTGCTTCACAACTGGGTGTGAACTCATCTTGTCCTTTGCCTCAGGCATCGAAACCTCCTGGGCTGGCCGGCATTTTTCCTTGCCGGCTTCACACACAGTCGTTCTCTTAGCAACTATGAGAAACTGGGTGCTGGACTGTGCAGGCCTTCAGTCTGGTGGCTGACGCAGGCTCTTCTTATACCTGTACATTAAGACCCTGTACAAAGGAAATCTGGCAGCATGCATGGGATGGATGATGTGAGTCTATGAGAGGATATCAAGTAATAATTCAGAATCTGTACACAATCCTGAGTTCCTCTCCCCCCCCCTTCCCCACTGGTGTTCCCACTCTCTGTACACAATGTAGGCTCTTCTGCTGTGTATATTTAACCGCCATCTGGTACTGAGGCCAGGATATAATATAAGGATATTAATCACCCCACATCGACGCAAATCAGCACCACACTGTGAAGGATGTTTACATAAGCCGCACCAACCGGAACATATGCAAGGAGAGCCAGGCCCTTCTGGATTCCGGGCCCTGGAATTAGAAAAGGAAAGGAAGGCCCATCCCTTGGTCGAACGGCAGGATCTCACGGGCCACCCATACACGTGGGCCACAAGAACCCTGTGGGACCGGCGGGCTTTTGTTCTGATTCTGGAACGCCCCGGGTTCTCCTTCGCACACGCGGGGCTCCTCTGACAGACTCAGACGTACTTCCTGAAATCCCCCTTTGCCCTGAACAGATTTCACCTCGGCGGGCGGCGGGTGGGGGACGAGAGAAAAACCAATGATGCGCAAAGACCATCGTGAGAAGAGGGCATGGAAAAGTTACTGGCCTGAGATTTCCGGGTGTTATTGGGGGCGGCGGGGGGGGGCGAATAACCTCTTGGTGAAAACGGCAAAAGGTGCCCCCCCCCCGCTCGCTTACTCTCACCTCCACCCCTCATAAATACGGGGGCATCGCAAGAGGCGATCAGGGCGCGCCCGGCTGCACAAGCACCCCACCCGGGGCGTGGGGTGGTGGTGGAAGGAAGCCAAGCGGGCTGCGCACGGACGGGCAGGCCTGCTCCTAGCCCGCAGACGCCGCCGAAGAGGCATCTAGGCAGCCGCCCTGCCCCAAGGAGGCGCCCCAGGGCTGAGCGCCAGCCGGCTCCTCGTGGTTCCGCTCTCATCGCCACCCGGGACAACCCCATCCCCGGCCGGAGCCTTCCTCCGGCGTCTCCCTCCCCGCCCCCCTCAGCGCGCACCCACCGGCGTCGGCGCGGCGGTCCCCCTTCTCCGCTTCCCGCTGCCGAGCGGGGTTCCGGGAGGCGTGAGACCCCTCCGCTCTTCTTTGTCGTCTCCGGCGCAACTCGGAAAACTTTCAGCTAAACTTCCCGGCGCGGTGAGGCTCGCCCTGAGCTGCGCTCGCTGGCCTCGAACCCCACACCCTGCGAGCCCCTCGCCGGGCAAACCACAACCTGAAGCCATCTCTCCTCCCAGAAACGCGAG